GGGGTTCAAAATTTCAAAAAAAATGATCAATAAATATTTTGTAGGGACTTGTATTTTCATTGAAAAATCCACCTACACTGGCAGTTGCACCACCCAAAACGAAAGAAACTATTGCAGAAGCTAATCTAAAATTTTATACATTTTTTTTCTTGCTGAATTAAAAAGTAGACCGCCTACAATTTCATTACAGTGTCAGCCAGCGCATCTTTCTCAAAAAAAAATCACATTAACGAACCTTGTTCGTTTGTTTTGTTACCCATATTTTGTTTTTGTCATGCAACTTTAGTGGCCCTTACTGTTGATTTCCCCGGAGACAGTGTTGTGCCTAATAAATATATACCGGTATGTAAAAATCAAGACAAATCTTTCAACTCTTTCTCTGTATCTATATACTCAATTGCAGTCTTTCTTATTGTGATTATTTACAGGAAACATTTCCCATGTGAAACAAGACAGATTCTCAATGAACATTGTGATGAAGTATGGTTTTGTAAATTTTCCCCAGATGGTTCCAAATTAGCAACAGGATCCAAGGATACCACAGTCATTATATGGGATGTTAATTTTGTGAGTTTATGTCTTTATAGAATTTCTCTTTTCTGATTTGACTATTTCTCTAGCCACAGTTACTATTTACAATTGATAAATGTCTTGATATCTTTCTTGGTTATTTTCTTGTAATGTACTTGTTATTCCAACTAGACAATGTTTATTACAGAGTCAACATCATCAACTTGTCATTATTTGTTTTTCAGGACACAAAAGAACTTAGACAACTACATACATTTGAAGGACATGCCTTTGGTGTTGCATTTTTAGCATGGAGTCCTGATAATAAATATATCATAGCCTGTGGCCCAGAAGAAAGTTCTGAACTATGGATATGGAATGTTGATGTAAGTACAGTCGTCTGATTCTACTTTATACCAGTGGTCGAAACCTGGTTTCCAGTTAGACAATCACTTTGGAAATCGTGTTGTTTATATGAAAATATCAGTGTCCAATAAAGATTTAAAGTTTAACCTTTTTTAACACCAAAGCCAAGATTGCCACTGCTCACAAAAAAAAACTTTCATATTTGGTTGCAAAAGACAAAAGTGGTTGTCCAAGACAACTACCGATTTTGATGCCTGGATAAAATAAAATGAAATAAAGCATAGTATAATTATGGTCAGAACAATCAAGCTAAATGAATGGGAAAGAACAACATCAGCAGGCTAGTTTGCTATCAGCTGGCTTTGCATTTTCATAAAAACTGACTACTTTAAAGTGTTATTGTCATCAACAAATTCAATGTATTACCTATATTACTAATATGAGACAATTTATCTGTATGGTGGTTTTGAAAGAAAGCTGAATTAACTTTAAGCCAGTTCAAAGCTAACTTGATGTTAGGTTATGCTTGGTCTGTATTGTAGTTGAATTACCGTAGTTAGAATGTCAAATACTGGTTCATTGCATTGAGTCATTATTGCATTAAATTACCTGTTTCAGTTTGAATAAGGCTTGAAATGGTTATATACATTTAATAATGAGTGTGAGAACAAATTAGTGACGACTGAGATCTTCTTTTCTGTGGTAGACTGGTGATCTTCGATGTAAAATGAGTCAGTCTCCAGATGATAGTTTAACATGTGCAGCATGGAATTCAGATTGTAAAAGATTTGTGGCTGGTGGTATGAAGGGACAGTTCTATCAATGTGTAAGTAAACCAGTTTTTAATGTAATGCTATATTGTATGTCATCTCATTTTTTTACTTACACTTGAAGTCATCAAAACCATGCAGCAAAGTGATAATTGTTGTATTTTGAAGTTTTCTTTATAAATATTAACCAAATTCAGGTTTCACACTAATAATTTATTTGATTATTCCTACCACATTTTATTGTTGATACTATTTTACTTGCACGTTTTAGTACCTACAATCCAATAGTCTGTGGACTTGAATAGCACCAAGGCATATACTCGTGTTATTGTATGTCTGTGATTACAGGCTGTGTTCATACTAAAATGAATTTAACAAAACTGAAACATGTAACATGAATATTTGCATCTCCAGGACAGTCTAGCCAGTACATTGGTGATGATAGTGCAATTTCTCCATTCAGTGTGCCAACTTTACAGTTTAATAATACAGAGATGTTTTTGGTTTTGCAGGACATTGATGGAAATGTTCTAGATTCATGGGAAGGTGTTAGGGTTCAATGTCTAGCAACTAAGAGGGACGGTAAAACTATTTTAGCTTCAGATACACACCATAGAATAAGAGCATATAACTTTGAAGAATCTTCAGACCACAAAGTGTAAGTATTCTATTATCACACTGGAGTATATGTATGTATGTATGTGACTGCTGAGTGGTTGTTCATGTATACATTAATATACTGGAATATCCATGACATTTCAATTATATGGATCAAGGTAGATTTAGATTATTCGCTGAATTACATTTTAAATGGTAGCTCAATGAGTGTGGTGAATAAAGCATTTCAAGGACTTACGAATTTACCTATGTGCGTTCTTGTGTTGTACATCTATCTGTCCATTCATCCACATCTGTATCTCAGACATACCTGGACCGATCACATTCAAACTTCACATTTCTATCATGTCACACATTTGTACATGCATTTGATCTGAAGGTGGCTGAATGCAAAAAATTCTTCAGATAAGAAAATTGATTTTGACAATTATTAGATTAATGATATTGGAAATATAGGATTTAATTAAATTAAAATACATTTAATATTCGGACATACATGGACAAACAATGAGCAGATACAATAAAGAAAAATGTCAGCTTGTTACATGGTTGTGTCTCAATGGTGTCATTGGCTTTGGCTCAAATGCATAAACCCAAGCTTTATATAAACACCATGTTTTTACATGTATTTGGAAATTAGATAGCTGTATATGCTTGAGTTACAAATACACTTACATAAGTGACTGAGGCAAATTTGTTTGTAAAAATGCATAATTAAATGGCTTTGACAACAAGCATTATTGGTCTATAGATAATACATTTTCATTATTTACAGACTTCAGGAAGATCATTCCATTATGTCATTCATATTGAATGATTCAGAACGTCTAGCTGTACTCAACGTAGCTACTCAGGGTGTACATCTATGGGATGTTCAAGATAAACTCCTCATAAGAAAATTTCAAGGTGTTACACAAGGTTTTTATACAATATTTTCCTGTTTTGGAGGCATAAACCAGGATTTCATTGCCAGTGGCAGTGAAGGTAAGTCAATCAAAACTTGTAGATTAAACCAGTGATTTATAATATAAACTGAATATAATATAAACAACAGGTGCAATATGTGCAAATTGTGAGGTGACCATGGACTCCCAAGGCAAACATATTTCTAGAAAAGTCTGAGAAAGATGCAGTTTGTCTTGGAAGGTTTTTTCTATTCACGCAACAGCTGCGATGAAGATTCCAATGTAATTGTGAAATGATCATGAACTCGCAAGACAAACATGCATTTCTAGAAAAGTCTGTGAAAGTAGTACTTCATCTATGTTCTCCCCAGAAAAGTAATTGCCAATTCAGTTTTTTAGTTTTGTTTAACGTGTTAATTAATGAACACTGGAAATAGTAAATGTGCATAACAGATTGACAATAAAAGTTGAAAGATTAGATCACCCGAGATGGGATTTTTTTCAGTGTTCTGGTCAACCGGTTAACGTTGCAGGCAAGCTGTCAGATTAGTGGCGTAAATCTCAGAGTAGCTGCCCCGTTATGCTAAAATGATTCGGGGAGCACTGTTTATGTTTGTATTGGAAGTTTTTTTTTAGTGTCCTTATTGACGAAGTGTGTATTATGTTTTGCTTTTTTGAACAGGGCGATAATCCTTGCTAATTTCTGTCCATGTAATAAACCCTTTTCCAAGCTTCCATTGCATTCTGTGATGCCATTGGTTAATAAACCCTTTTCCAAGCTTCCATTGCATTCTGTGATGCCATTGGTTAATAAACCCTTTTCCAAGCTTCCATTGCATTCTGTGATGCCATTGGTTAATAAACCCTTTTCCAAGCTTCCATTGCATTCTGTGATGCCATTGGTTAATAAACCCTTTTCCAAGCTTCCATTGCATTCTGTGATGCCATTGGTTAAACTACATATGTATATTTGATTGATACATACATGCATACTTGCATGAACTCACATGGCATAAAATCTTCAGCTCAAGATAACTACTCAGCTGCCGGAATCAGTGTATGCCTGCAACTTGATAGGTTGATGCATTTCCTCAACAGATAACCAAGTTTATATTTGGCATCATAAACGAGAGCTTCCCATTGCTGTATTACAAGGTCATACCCGGACAGTCAATTGTGTTACATGGAACCCACATGTACCTAGTATGTTAGCTAGTGCATCTGATGATGGCACTATACGTATATGGGGACCATCAACAGAATATCTTATGTATGGTAAGTGGAACCAATATCTACCAAGTTAGCTTTCATATGTATTCTAATGTAGGTGTCATTTTTGGAACA